CAAAAGAATGAAGCACCTGATTCTAGTTAAATTATGGAGGCATGGCAGCTTTCCTTACCAAGTTACACCATAGTTGAACAATCTCATTCTGCATCTCAGACAACAAATTTGTATGAATTTACAAAGATGATTTACATTCCCAAGTTGCTATATTTTCTTTTCGTTATTATTGCCAGAATCTGCAGGCAAATGAAATGGAACACACAAATCTCTACAGCATTTAAGATCAATACAGGCAGAAAAAAAGTCAAAATGCATGGGACTTCAGGAGGACGAACTACTGTCAATACAGTGAGGTCTAGAGAGCTGTAGATATTAGGTTCAAACCTCATCAGATGATGCTTTGGTAGTGGTGCTATGGCAATTCAGTGTTATTCATTTTGCGTCTTTCATAACTCAGAATATCCCAAAGCAGTTCACAGATAAATAAATACTTTCAAAATGAAACTGCTGTTGTAACTATAGGCAAACATAGCAGTAAATTAGTGCACAGAATGCTCCCACGGGAAACAAACAATTTACAAGAAATTTCTTGATGATGGCAATCAAGACCTGAATTTCTACCATCTTAAAGAATCAGTTTAAAAGTTTAGCTGAGCAGCCATTGATAATACCCAGGCAAACTGCTATAAATATTATGAGGCAAGTTTGATTTTGTGAAAGACTTGGGGCTGAATCTTCTCAAAATTTGGCTAAGCCATTATTTTAGGGAGTTTCATAGAGGTTTTCTCTCCTTGAGCCCTACAGACTTTTCTCATGCAATTTTACGCTGCTCACCTTATTATATAAGCACTTGGCCTCCACGTGGAATGTTGCAATACCACTCACTGTTGCATGCAACATCATCCCTCGTTGGATCTCACTAACCTATTCCACAAAACTACTAACACTTCTTATGCTTTGCTTCCTACTCACTCTGGGCACCTCATCACTCTTCCCAAAGAAGGATGGATCCAGCCGCTGACTGACCATAATCCCGTTTGACCGAACTAAGTCATCGTCCCCTTAGTTTCAGGCACATGCAGCCTGTTTGCCACATAAGCAGTTACCACATGCTTTAGGTGTGACATTTATGTAGCATGGTGCCCTATAGTAAAACGCCACCCCTGTAGGGAAGTATGACAAACAACCTCAACTTCTGTTTGTACTAAAAGGCAAGACAAGGCAGAGATGCTGTGATCGTCCAAGTAAACACAAAGTGAGCTAAGAAAGCAAGCTAAAAGCCAAAGATGCATCTCGTTCTGATGCATGAGATAGGTGCCTGTTTGTGTGTGGCCTTCAGCAGCATTACAGTGTAAGGTATAAGTGAACTCCAAAATGGAGTACTGAACTGCTGAAATGTATTATAAGTGTGTCGGGATGTGCCACGATGTGGTAAGGCTGCTGCTTTGCTAACGCTGATCTTCATTAAAAAGTACTGGTGGTCCTTGTCCATGAATTGTGCCCTGAGATGTTCATGAATGCTAGCCAAAATGGATGCTCAGAAAAGAAGCCACAAGCTGCACCTGCCAAGTTACTGCTCTGATTCTTGAGTTGGGAATTGATACCATCCAGCTTTGCTCCTGTCTCTGGGAAAATAGAAACTGCAAATATGAGCTGAGACTAGCTAATGAGATGTTAATGTGTGCAAATAGGCCTGTTGCCTCTCACTAGAAAGATTCTCATCTAGTGGCTGAAATCTTAAGTGGAAAGTTTTATTGTTGATATCAAGAATCTCATTTCTTCAATCCTGCCATATTTTCCAAACCATTCTGTCGTTTCCCCACATCTTTCAGAGAGTCTATAAAGTCAGCTCAGTTTTCCAATTAGGACTATAAAACACTGATGAATAGTCAAAAAATTGACCAGCTTTGTATGATGCAAATACTGACTATTCACATTACTTAGGACCTGTTTGTTTTTGATATTCCCCACATGGGCTCACTGAAATACTGACCAATGGAACCAGGCAAAGCAGGGTTTATAGTCATTTTGCCCAGTGTACAGTGAATGAGTAGTGAAATTGGGGAGGAGTAAATACATGAGCGTACCAACGGCCTACAGGAACTTCCAGCAAATGCCAATCAGCCTCCACATGAAGATGTTGCAGAAGAAAAGTCCCCTAAGGACGTGGAGGTGATAGGACAGGTTAAGAGTCTATCATACTTGATGCCATCCACAGACTGAGGATGCCATATCCACTGGAGCAGGACTTTCAAATGAAAGGGAAGGTGGTCACGCCAATTAGAACTGAGGGGCAAAGAATTGTTTTCTCCCAGAAGGCAGTGAATGTCTGGAGTTTTCAATCCCAGAGAATTGTGGACACTAGTTGACTATAAGAATTTAAACAGGAGGTGGATAGAATTTTGTAATATTGGGAATTGAGGGCTATGATGAGTTGGCAAGAAAGAGGAGTGGAGACCTGGGACAGATCTTGTTGAGTTACACACCGGGTCTGCGGGGTTGAAATCTCTATTCTGTCTCCTATTTCTTACATTTTAATCATGGTGGCCATCGAAATGACAGCTGTGTTAAATGTTTATGCAATGGGGTGCCTTCAAATACCCATTGGGGACCCGTGTGGAATTTCTCAATCCTCAATATGTCAAAGACTGTTAACAATGCAATTTGTGCAAGATCACACTACTTCAACTCATTCTTATCCTTTCAAGGTCAATGTTGCAGCGCGGGCAGTAGGCTTTGTCAATATGCTGGTTTCTATCAGGTGCAGGGATCTATAGACTGTACATTGCAAAGACAGCCCTTTTCAAAAATAGTTGACTTTATCAACAGAAAAGGGGTCTCATTTGACCAATATACAAGTCATCTATGATCGCTGTTATCACATCTTTCAAATCTGTGCCAGGTACCCTGGAAGTTCACATGATGCCCTACATCCTTGATAATTCTAAAAGGTTCCTGGGCTGGGCATTTCATGGGCTGAGTGCCTTTCAAGGCTGGAGATGAGAGCTACCCTCTGAAACAATGGCTGACAACTCCATTATGTAACTCGTCAGCTGAGGCTGAAAACAAATGCAATGCAACCCATTCTTTGACCAGGGCCGTAGTTGAGCAGATAAGCCTCTTGAAGATGGGATTCAGTGGCGTGGATCAAACTGGGGGAGGGCTGTGGCTGGCGGTACACTCCAGACAGACTGCATGGCATATTCCTTTCATTCTGTGCTCTGCACAACTGGAGCAGACAAAGAAGGGAATGTGATGGACACCAAAGAGTTGGGAAAGCAGCAACCATCTTCTGGGGAGGAAGAATAGGACATTGAGCAGGTGGAATATCAGTTTCGCCACAATAAATGCAGTGCAAAAAGCCAGACAATTGACACATGCAACCAATAGTTTGGAGTTACGTGAAGTCACCATTCATTGACTGTAAAATGCTGTTGGTTGAAAGGCAAGCAGCCCTTGTTTAGTCCCAAAAGCAATTGCAGCATTTTGTTTGTTGTTTCCTCTCTTTTCTTACTGCTTAATTATAGTCAATGTTAACAACTGTTTGAAGGCTTTTCAACATATGACGCTCTCATATTCAACTGGAAAAGAGTAGCACTCCTTCAGACAGGATTCTAACATGGGAAACTGCCCATAAAACTACCAAAAATTAATACTTAGCTGATTGCTGGGAAACTTCAGCCATAGGTCTGAGTGAAATCATTCTTGTAACTCACTACTACCCTTATCTTACTTGCCTAAATATGAAGCCAGCCAAAGGTAATGGTACAAAAATGTAGATTGCGAGAAAATGTTTTCATTACAGGTGAAAATGCAACAAAATATTCAAATGAATATTCTAAATGGTCCTCATGAACATCTAACATGTGAATGAGATTGAACATTATCTTTTTTGATAGCTATACACATTGCAAATCAAAATGCCTCCTGTTTGTTTGTTTGTGACCTGCATGAGGTTAGCTGATTTGAGATGGAGTACTACAATAGCTGTTACAATTGGTCTGAGTGCAAAGAGGGAAAAAATAGAGCCAGCATTCTCCTTCTCCAAACTAATTAATCCTGCCTGAAAAATTGTGTTGAGTGTGGAACTTATTCATTTTTATGCTTAAAATATTTGTGTGCTGACAGCTTACTAACTGTGGGCATATCAAAATAAATACATCAATAAATAAAATCAATAAATCAACTTGACCAAAAATAGACAAGCCCTCAGCTGTGATGCGTCCACAATTAGCAAGCTATCAACACACAAATATTTAAGCACAGAAATGAATAACACACGACAGAAGTAGCAGTATTCATGCAAATATAATCACAGCAGATCAATTCCTTTAGCTATTTAGCAGAATGTTAACAGCGAGAAGAAAAATTCCCAGTGTAAGTAAACTATCATTGATATGTTTAACAGAAATAGTCAAACTGTTCCAACCAAATGGCACTTTAAGTATCTATTAACCTTTAAATGACAACGGGTTTTCAATTCACCCCAAATTTAGTACATGAATTATATATGTATAGGACCCACAGAGGTACACTAATACCAACTCCATAACCAGTCAAAAGAGCTGGTTTTCTCTGACTGCTAAAAAAAATGGACATATAATTGACATGATTATCATCTTGTTTTCCTTTTCCTGGAAGTTCCTCATTCTTTGATGTTACTGCATTTTGTTCCTGCAAATTATCTACCTCAGACCACTGTTTAATAGCTACCTCCTTGTTTATAAATATTCTATAAAAGTTAAAACTGCTACAAGCTCTATTGTGCAGTACCATATACCAAGGTATTTCAGAAGGCATGTGAAATAACCTAAGATAGGAGGCAACTGTGTATGCAGTAATAATTTTGTTAAAGTAATATGCTTCAATTTGTACAAACGAGGGCTGGACACATTTGGAAGCTTACATTAAAACTGCACAGTTGCTAAGTTGTACATTTGTCATGGATGATGATTGGGGACCTACATCATTCAACATTATGATATTTTCATTTAAAAGTAATATTACATTTGGAGGCATTTTAATTATTTTTCTTCCATTTGATTACTGTATTTCAGAACTTTACTTCAAACAGTGCTGTGACATAGTCTTACCTGTGCTGCTGTTCAAAGATCCACATCTAGGGGGAATTAAAAAAAAAACATCTAGCTGAATCCAGAGAGTCATCTGACACCCAGTGTGTTTTAAAACTTCAGAAATGGACAACCCAGAGGAAAAAAGCAAAGCAAGTGTCACAAAATCAACTTTGAAGAGCCATAAACAGAAATAGAGATGCTTCACAATACTTCCTCCTTGCACTCAACGCCTTCAAACATCATTGTCCACTAGTAGGAAATGGTTTGATGACAGATAACATCAAATGTATAAGCTTCCCCCTTTTGTCACCATAGATAATGTTCACAAAAAAGGTTCACACTACACAGTACTGTTATAGAAGCAACTGCAGTATGACACAAATATCGTTTGCTGTTTCAAAATTACTTTTAGATTACATATGTGGATGAAGCCTGTCTGTGGGTTCACTTAAGCTGTAGTAATAAGTAGCCTTTTTTGGAAAAGATCATTTGTCTTTTTTTTGCCAAAAGTACAATTCTCCTGTCACATTGTAATTTTATTCATAGCTCAAAGACTATACCAATGGAGCTGACAAAGCTTGAATGCAGCTTTGACAGTAATGGGTGCTTTCACACGATAATGATACATAAAATTACATAGCACTCAGTGGTAACATTAATGTTGAGAAACTGGCACACAGCTGCAATTCATTAAGCCACATTTTACTTAAGATCCCAAGGTTACAAATCAGCACTGAAAATGGATACTGTCCTCTAGCACCTTAACAATATCCTAAATTTCACTTATGAAGATGTGCTCACTAAGATAAAATCATCTGAAATGAACTATGATCCTACTATATCTCCAATGACTAAGAATTATATACTTGTGGAATGTGGCCCACATTTTTTTTTTTAATTGTTCATGAAAACACAATTTCTTACTGGATAACTGGTTATAGAGCTGCTTAAGGATTCTGCACCAGATAAACAACTTGCAGTTCTAATTTAAATGCTTGTCTTGACTGGTTTTCTATTGCTATTTACTCCTGCATTTTGTTTTAGGACATGGACAGGCTGCTGAATGAAAATTTTACTGAAGTGGGGTGGTATCTCTTAAACAAGGAAGTCTTAAGATTATGTAGTGTCACAATTTGAGCCAAAGGGATACAATCCTGATCAACCTGTTCAAAGATGTTATGACACCACTGGAGCAGGTAGCATTTGAACCTGGGCCTCCTGGCTCAGAGGTAGACAGTAAACTACTGCCATGCCACAAGCACCCTAAAGCTGAGGGCATGAAGGGAGAGTACTTAAATAAGTTGTAAGCTATATTACGAGGGTGACACCAGCTGCAGTTCTTCACATTTGATGCACGATATTGAGTTCAACTAGCACTTCCTCCTCGTTAAATTGTTAAAACCGGATTACAGCAAACAGGAAATGCAAATACTTTCACAGCCTTAGTACAAAGTTCACCACAGATCATCGTGAAATTCTGTTTATTAATTTGAAATGCAACTTGGAGTTTTGCTTATAATGCTCATTTAAAATTTCAGTTTCAAAGCTACATTGTCTTAAATTCAAATAAAAGTTGAAGAAATGAGGAACTCTTACAAACACGACAATCAATTTGTTTTTAAGACATAAATATAGGAGGATTGTTCAAATGAAAGTGATTACTTTATTGACATGCAGATTACAATTTATCATCAATTATCTGAGACATTTTGTTCATACTTTATCTACCTATCCTGTCACAATGTATTGCGTGCAGTCAGCTTGCCAAGATCTAGGCTTCCATGTTCATGGAATAGAAATGTTATTTCATCAAGGATGACCCCTTTCGGGTAATATGTTGAATTAAGATCCTAGATCTGCCTATTCTAATAGTTCTTCTGCACGTTAAAGATTCCATGACACTATTTCAAAACCCAGGAGACCTCTTTGCTTTAGTGAACATTATTCTACGACGTGCACAATCAAAAAAAGTTACAAATCACTTATGGGCTATTTTACGGACTTTTGTTGTACCTGAAATGGCTGTCGTTTTATCCAAGTAATTACAAACAGCAATTCTCTTCACGTGAAATTCATTTGGATTTCTCTGGGGCTTTGAAGTGTTGCATACAATGCAGTTTCTTCATTCGGAGGCATAATGATTAACATTCTACATTTGAAAGATTGTTTGAACAAATAGATCACTTTTCCAATGAAAAAATTATGGAACATTTTTGTTAGTCCAACTCCATTCAGGAAGCCACCTCTCAAATACAAGGGCTTTGTGGTGGGCATCAGTTCTAGAACGACAACCTGATGAATTAGTGAACACACTGCTCTTTACAAGAGATGCGCAATGACTCACCCTTAGATTCAACATAGGAGCTTCAAATTGATCTGACAGCACTGTAACTGAATTTGCATCTCAGCTCACTGACACTGAACGGTATTTAGTCAGCCAGCTTCAATCACAGACACCAGTAAATAAAAACAAATTTCTGGAAACACGCAGCAAGCATTTTGAATATTGACAGAGAAAAGAGTGATTAATTTGGTGCATCACATGGTTGGAGTACTTTAAACAAAGCTTTAACAGCCAAAAGGTTAACAGCTGGATAGGGAAATCATACGTTGAGTGACTCGCTGTGTACTTTCTGCAACAATTGAGTTTTTTTTTTAAACTTTTAGCTATGTAATTTTATTGTGACGAGTTTGGTTTGCAAAACACTTCCGCCCCTCCTGAACAGTTCACCTAATATGTAACAGGGGATTTTATTACATGAAATTTTTAATGACTAAGTCCTTTATTTCTGCATTTTGCCAGACCTATTTCTGCAAATTTCAACAGAACTTTGAGTGAATGCATTTATTGACTGCATCAAGACACATCGGTGGACTGTAGAGTATTAGTATAATGAACCTTGAAGGGGGGTAAAAGAAGCAGAAAACATAGGCTAGTTCTCTTTCATATGGCATCATCTTTTACAAAGACTCAGAAGATTAATTTTGAGTTTTGGAAATGTGCATGTGGATTGCATTTCTTTTAAAGTAACAATTGTCATAGATTTTGAAGGACTATCTTAAATATCTTTGAATAGTTTATTCTGCGGGCACATATAATTTCTAGTCCTAGTTTTGATTACCAATTATTCAAAAAATTAGTAAAACACACAACTTATTTCAATAAGGATTTAACAGCTTGATTTAAAAGAGATTGACACACTAAATTTCATGTTACTTAGCATGACATTCTGACCACAACAACTTAACCAATTTCACAAAATGTATATCAGCACTGAGCCAAGTAAGTACATTGCTTGTACAACTAAAAGTTAAATATGAACAACGCAAAAAATATTAACAAATGGTTACTTCCAAGTAGATTGGGATGAAATGCTACTCAGACTGTACTTGCACAGCAAGTTCTAATCTACAATGGTCTGAAGAGAGTGTTCTTGGCACTATAATCCAATTACATTCACCATGAATGAAGAGAAAGATGCAGAGGGAATGTTATCAACTTTTACGTAACTCAGCCACTTGGACCATCTAGTTTCTGAAATATATCTAGTTAGCAAAGTGCAAGTCAGTCTAAACATTCTGTATCATTAGGTGGAGGAAACTAAACAGCCATGATCCCTGCTTGATTGCGAGTGAGCAAGGGCTCCCTAAAACCAAGATTGGATACAATACCCTTCCTGGTGGAATAGCCTAATACCTAAAGCTTTAAATATTGGTCACTTGGCTGAGATACTGAAGGACATACAACAGCCTTCCAACTGTACTTCGATAAAGAATGAAAGCCTTCTCATAAGGCAAAATCGAAAAGAGAAAGGAGTCATTAAAAATACAACATGCATCAAAAAAGATGAGAGCCACTTGCATTTCAATCCTTTCAATGCAGAACTAAGAAGGAATACAATTCTTGAGAACAGGAAAGGAGCAAATCTAATTGTTTTGAAACATGTTTGCAAAAGCAAGGCATTTAACGTTAAGTTTTGAAAACCATTGTTCAGTCAAAAGGAAATAGTAAAGCTGGACAGGTATTAACAACTGAAATGAGTTACGTTGATTATTTTTAATGAATATCAGCATGGAAATAAAACATCAAGTTTTTCATTGTTGTTTTCTTGGAGCCTCATTAAAAACAACCTAAAATTTGCAACATCTATACCAATCTTGCTGTCTCAGTGTATACCATATATTCTGCCATTCTAATTATTTATTTCTGATATGTACCAAAGCCTATCAAAGCAACATACCAGTCTATGAAAAACTTAAATGCTTATTCTACCTATTGTAGAGCTTTGTTCAGAAATGTAGCTCACTCTATGGCTTACAAAGCACTAACAGAATGCTAGCACTTACCTTTAAAAATGCTTCGGTATTTTCATCCTGATGCAATGATTCTACAAAGTCTGTTGTGATACATCTTGTTAGAGCTGGTACATCTGGTACACTAGTGAAATCTGAAATTTACAGAAATTTAAACACTATGTAAAATACTGTCTAAAGAAAACTATTGCATGTGACAGAGCTTTTTAAAAACAAAGCCTACAAGAAAATAAAAAGGACAAAGCACCATTCATTTACTCAGATGCAAGGCGACAAACACCTCAATTGTTCAATAAACTGCCATAAACCTACCTGGCTGTAAACGACACCAAGAATGTAGTGAAAACACAGAGCAATAACTAAATTCAGAAATATAGTAAACTACAGAAACCTGCAATCAGGCAAGAGCTCAAACATACAAACTTTCCCTTGGTTTCTTTTTCAAGGAGACTGCCAGAAACTGCTAATATTACCCTACTTCAAAAGGTGCTGGATCAATTTTTTTTTCATACAATGTGCTAAATAGTAGGCAATCATTCTGTAATACTTTCTTTTGTACCCAATTCAAAATTTATTTCTATGCAGCATTTGATACTTATTGATACCATAAAATACTTCTGATCTTCAACAACTAACTCCTAAATCTGACTGAAACTTCCTTGAGAGACATCTTACACTGCAAATGTCTTGCATCCAGTGCCAGCAGATGTCAGGGGTCTGAGTTGGTTAAACAGCAGGAACATTGGAGATGCGTCATGTAGGCTTCACTCCCATTTGCAAATTAGATATTTTAATCCATTCTGCTATACAATTACTCTAGTCAGAACTTTTAAAATGCTTATGTTGCTGAAGGAAAACATCCTGTTACATTGATAAACTATTAAAAAGAGAAGAATTTTCAGTAGTTATGTATATGCTTTCTTTGAAAAAAAGAACTTATTAATAGTATGGGAAACAGTACAACTACAACTGCATTGCTGCTGCCCAAGTCAGTTTGCTGTCTGCGATGATTCAGTTATTGTAGTGTATGAACAGTCACAGATAGTGCCCAAAATGAGTGACAAAATATAGAAAAGACAGGTATTTTTACATTTCAACTCCAATTCTGTTTACATACTGAGGTACACTGCTGCACATTAATTTTCTGAGCAGGATAATATTTATTTTTAGACATAACATAATAAAACATTTCATTTTGATGAAAGCCCCTTTACTCCAGTTCCAATATAGAAAGGCTCCAGTCAACATTAGATATACACTTAATATCAATGTTGCACTGTCTTATTTAGTTACTGATGTGTAAATGCATTTGAGGGCAAATATTTTAAGTGTAATGTAGTGCTTAATTAAGTTGTATAAAGGATAGTTAAGTCCCTAAAGAACTTGTAACAATTTGATGGAAATTTAGATGGGTTGAAAGTTGGAATGTACATAAACTCTATATGATTAAAAAAGTTGCAGTTGACTCAGTTTACCAGCAAAGTGCTATGTGCCATGGTCTGAATATATAAAAGGGCAAACCAAGTCGGAGGCTTGTAAAGCTGTAGTGCTTGTAGCGATTTTATCCAAAGCCTACTGGCAACAAGTTTATTTGAACTAATTTGCCTTTGGGCAAACTGCTACTTGGGTCAACAACAAAATACATTCATATGTTCCTTTAACATAAAGCATCCTAAATGCTTCACAAAAAAATTAAACAAAGAGACTGAGAACATGTAAGCAGATATTAGGATGGCTTGACAAGACCTTTGTTGAAGTTTTAAGCAGCATCTTATAGTAACGAACCACACTGAAGGCAAAAAGAAAACTCACAAATTGACAAATTCGAGAACAGCATGATAAAACTGGAGAACTGTACTTGTTAGATCACTCATAAAAAGCTACAGGACAATCAGTCTAATATTGTGTCTGGGGGAAACTTTAAGCAAGGATGGACTGGAGTTTGCTGAGATACTTGGGATGCCAAAGTCTGAATCACAATAATCTGGGCCACTTCTATGTTCATGACAAAAAGTTGGTCACAATTCCCAGAGACTGTCAATTAGAGATCCAATTAAATATGGCAAGTGTACCAGGAAACCAACAGCCCAACAAACGAGCCCACAGCAATGTGCAACCAGCAGCACCATCAGAAGAGGTATCAATGTAGATAGAGATACCCCTGAAGACCTGCCACAGGATTGTTAAAGCCACACCTGTGGCCCTCTGACACCCATGGCTATGTGGGTTGGGGGGCATATTAAAAGAGACAGCCTCCAGGCAATTACTGAT